ACATACCCAAAATTTTATGGAGATCTTTGCAACCAAAATATTCTCTTCTTGTTATGAATAAAATATTTTCACTAGTTCCACCAAAATCTCATATAAATCCATGAAATTTATTATGTCTTAAAGTTTGCACAAGTTTTAGTGGTAAAAGTGTTTTTAACCAAAAATTACCATTTTGGTGTAACTCATCATATATTTACCTAGTAGCTTAGTTTTATGTTTTATATAATACAAAATATGTAGATCTATACAAAGACAACTTTGTCCTAACATCATGAGGTTTGTGAAAACTCAAGTTTATGGAGTATTAACATGAAGTAAAAACATTTCAACACACATAAACACCTAAACATACAAATACATGCAATTATCCAAGGATTTAGACAAGATTTGACTTGTATTCTCCCCCCCCCCCCCCAAATAATGAAAACTTGAAAAAAGTGGGGCATGAAGCTCACCTTGGTTTGATTTGGTGGATGATTTGGATAGATGTTGAGAAGTGTTTAAGTCCTAACACTTGAAGAGTTTGATAAACTCTTTGAACTTTAGAATATCCTAAGAATATTAACACATAAGTTTATGTGTAAATATGATGAAATAAATAAAAGAATATGAGAAACTACTTAGCTAATCATGAATACTTACAAGATCTAGGGAATACTTTGAAGAAACAAGGCTTGAAGCTTGAATACATTGGGAGTGATTTTAGGAGTTTACAGAAAGCAAATGTGATAAATGGGAAGTAGTTTACGCTTATAATAAAGGAGGATGAAAGGGATAAGATATGCTTGGTAACCTGGTGGATAATGCATGGATATTTGATGGTTCCTACATAGTTTACTGGGATTAGCATGGGGAAATGGAAAAAGACACTCATCAACCGTGAACACTTAAAATATCTAAGTGTTTACACCAAGATGCCTCCTAGGGAGGTGTTCATGGTCAAAATTTGGAGTCTTTATGGTGTTTACGCCCTTGATGCTTCCTAGGGAAGTGTTTATGGTCAAGGTTTGGAATCCTTATGTAGTTTATGCCCAAGACATTACCTAGGGGTGTGTTCACGGCCTAGCTTTAGTTTGTTAATGTAGTTCACAGCCAAAGGTGATCCACTAAGGGTGTTCACGGCCGAGATTCCTTCCTTCATGGTGTCCACGGCGAAGCCATGGCCCATTAGAGGGTTTTACGGCCAAGGGTACTTCTTTAAAGGTGTTCATGGTCTTGGATGGGTCCTAGGAAGGTATATATGGTATTAATTAATAGCAAACTCAAATATGTTGTCCTTATAATTCAATTGCTCAAGATTGTGACACAATTACAAGTTCTTGTGTCTACACCATGTGATCCTTAATCAAATGCATTTATCTAGTTTTACCTCACTAAATTTTGTTTACTTTCAAGAGGTTAACTTGTAGGTGACTTCCAAAGTGCATACTTATACTCTAATGGTTTTCAAGGTTCTCCTTGTAATAGGGTTACAATTTAGACCTTGCTTGATCCAAATATTTCGGGTTGCCACATCTACCTTTAGACCTAATGAGTGAGAGTTTGGACTTAGTTCCTAATTGGGTTAATTGTGGGTTTGGCTCAGAGATAGAGGCTGGTGCGCAGCAGCAACGTTTATAGGGGCTGTTCATCATCCGAGGTGAGTCTTCTCACTATACTTTACCATGAGTGGTATCTATGTGTGATCGGAGGGTCTTATGTGCTTATTTGAGTTATGTGATATTATGCATTTTGTCTGTGTGATATATATGCTATATTTGTGTTTACCGAGATCGGAACGGAGGGTCCAACCCGAGTTGTGGGACCGGAGGGTTCCCATTGAGACAGGACCGGAGGGTCCAACCCAAGCTGTGAGACCGGAGGGTCCTCACTGAGACACATGACCGGAGGGTCTACACCAAGTCGTGAGACTGGAGGGTCCACACCGAGACGCATGAGACTGGAGGGTCCATGCCGAGTATTGCCATGAGAGGCTTATTATTTGTGCATGTGGTATTTTAGGGAACTCACTAAGCTTCGTGCTTACCGTGTTATGTGATATGTGTTTCAGGTTCTTCTCAGGATCGTGGGAAGGCGCCAGCTTGATTGTACACACCAGAGAAAAAGTTATGTTTCGAGGATCCTGGATTATTAATCAAACAATTATGGAGTTGCGTTTTGTAAATTTAATAAGTGAGATTTTTGTGAAATGTGTTAGGAGAATTATGTGATTTTTAAATGAAAATTTTGTTTGAAAATTTACAGTGTTACATTTACAAATTGTTTTCAAAATAAGTGTCATATCAGAGAAACCCCAAAATTATGAAATAAAATATGAGGAGGTGCACGATCATGCCTTTACCTTCCCACGATTGTCTGAAGTACCTGAAACATAATCCAAAACTGTAAGCCCAAAGCTTAGTGAGTTTCCCCTAAAATACCAATACATAACAAATAGCACAGTTATAAAAACAACATACTTTGGGCTCAATCAACCATCGGGTTGGAATACCCCAGGCCCCTCAACCATCGAGTTGGAATGCCAATATATTATGGTCCAGTCATCCTCGGGATGGCATACCCCAGACCCTCAACCATCGGGTTGGAATACCAATATACTATAGGTCCAATCATCCTCGGGATGGAATACCCTAGGCCCTCGACTATCGGGTTGGAATGCCTCGGCCTGTTGGCTTACGCATAAAGCAGTGAAGCCTCAGCCACCAAAAATCATGTGCACACATAACAGATAATCATATAACAGACTACATCCAGTCACACAGATCTAGAGATAACTAAGCATGACAACATCCTATCTACTAGGATACCGATCTAACAGATCATAACAATACAATAACATGCATCACATGATACCATTCCAATGGGTCGACATTGGTGCCTTCGACCTGCAAGTATAGTGAGGACAACTCACCTCACAAGTAGTGCATAACTGACAAGGTCTGACTCCGAATATCAGCCCCTGACTCAAATGCCTACAACCACCATGTGACCAATTCCATTAAAACCCTAAAATACCCAAAATGCCCTCAAAGGTCAGCTTGGTCAAAGTCAAAGGCAACAGTCATGGTCAACAGTCCTTGTTGACCCAACTCGTCGAGTGCACCTATGGACTCGTCGAGTTCTACAGTACTCAGAAATTCAGGGAAAACCCTAGCCAACTCGTCGAGTTTTCCCCAGCTTAACACATTCAGATGATTCTTCGATTCCAGGGACTCTAAAGCTTAGATCTGAACTCCAAATGTGTCTAAAAGGATAAAGTTTCCAACTTTATCCTTTGGGGCTACTCCAAAAGCTTAAAAACCCTTCCACAAGGCTTGAAAAGTCAAAGTCTTAACCATTAAGCACAAAATCCTAGAGATCTGGAACCCAACCTCTCTAGGAGAGATTCTAGCCTCAAAAATGTCCCAAAGGTTGGTGCTTTATAGACATGCATGTACAATGCATGTCTTGAACCCAAAATGGGTCAAAAAGGGGAAACATGACCTAAACTCCATGCATAGCATCCAAGCTTGACAAAAGACTAGATACAACCCGCTATAAGGTCACTTTGACCTGGAGATTCATAAAGTTGTAAACTTTATGAAGTCCATCCATTACAACATCCAAGAACAAGGAGAAAAAGGGACCAACCTCAAGATCTAGCCACATAGATAGATAAAAATCAGATCTTGAATACTTACAACGGTCCAAAAGAGTGCCAAACTGAATATGAGAGCTTAGCTTGCTAGATCCTTGCCTCATTCTCTCAATCTTCTCCTTCTTTTGCTCCAATATGCCACACTAACTCATAATATGAGATGAAATGAATATTAGGGTTCACAAGGCCGATATTAGGGTTTAGAGGCTGATAAAAGATCAGCCTCACGGACTTAAGGAAGTTATATAGGGTGCAAACCCTAAAATTTAGGGTTTCATAATCAGCCGCCAACTCGTCGAGTTTTCCTCTCCAACTCGTCGAGATGGTCCATAAAGATGCACGAACCAAAGCCTTCCAATACGTCGAGTTGAGGCCATCAACTCGACGAGTTCCAAGGGAAACTTGTCTTTTGAATAATAAATCGCATACCTGGAAATAGGGATGTTACAGAGAATATCTGAAAATCGGATGGTACAGTCCAAGTCAAGAGACTCATCATAGTCTTCATAGCAAGATGAAAGAACACACAAAAGATCAAGATTATTTGTTATGAGTTTGATTACATTTTAGTACTTTAATGTTTTCTACCTTGATTGTTAAATTTTTTTAACTTTGTTGTTCGGTAGGATTTGTCATGGGAAAACCGTTAAAATTTTGATCAGATATATGTATTTAATTTGGGACCATTTTTGTAATTGTTTTTTAGGACCTTTTTTGTACACAAATTCTGCCACATGACTACATATGTCATGTATTTTTGCCACAAGGACTAAATCGATATATATTTTCTACCATAGGGACGGTTTCTATAATGAATGTCTGGCACATGGACCATTTTGTAAAGATATTAAGCCATAAGGACTGTTTTGTAATGTATTTCTACCATAAGAACAATTTTATATATATATTATGCCATAGACTATTTCTATAATGTATTTCTGCCATAGGGACCATTTTGTAAAGATATTATGGCATAGGGAGTGTTTCTGTAATGTAATTCTGCAACAGGGAATATTTTGTAAAGATACTATGCCATATGGACTATTTATGTAATGGATTTTCTGACAAAGGGATCGTTTATGTAAATATTTTATGACACATGGACTGTTTTTTGTAAAGTAATTCGATCACATGGATGACTTCTATAATAATTTCCAGTATACGGACAATTTATGTAATTGTTTTTCAACCACATGGACGATTTTTGCAATTTTTTCTACCACAGGGACCATTTCCGTTATTGTTATGGGATCATTTATGTAATATTTTCCTGCCATAATGACCATCTCTATAATAATTCTCAACTATAAGATCTAAAATCGACATGTTATACCATATACAACATGTTACCAAATTATCATCACTGCACGGTAAACTATGAAATAAAATCAAACTTTTATTTTTTATGAATTGCTAATGCATTAAATATAAAAAAACAACATGATACTAGAAAGTTACAACAACACCAAAATCTTAACATCTTCTTTTGAAATATAAAACCTTTGCTGGCCTTTTTCTTGCTAAGATTTTTAGAAATAGCAATCTACCTGTAAGCATTCTTGGAAGCATTCCACATGGACAAGTGATCACCATGGACAATCTTTATATCATCAACAAGTTTTTCGGATTCTACATGTTCAGACTCGTGTTCAGGATCCAACAGTTATTTAATTTCTTCCTTAAAACTATGATCAATTTCACTAGTTGATGATGTGTTTCCTTCTTCAACAGGAACACATTTAAAACTTTCCTTCTCGATTTCTCCTTCGGAACAATAATTAACATTGACAACTCTAAACCAGTGTACCTAAATGCAGAAGCATCAGTAAACACTACAAAAAAAACACACAGAGTTTAACTTTTTGAGCTAAACATGCTACACAAATTACTTTAAGGGTATGACTGTAATTTACCACCAAGTTGAGTAAGACGTTGTAGCTAGAATGAGTCAGCAAATACACCAGAGGGTAGTCTCTTAATAACCCTGGCCTTACAGGAGAGTGATGGGAGATTAGATAAAACTTCTTGATGGTTTTCAATTTTCATGGAAGATGTTAGACGCCTGTGAGAACCTTCACCAATTAAATTTCGCCTTGGATCAAATTGTGTTTAGTTTGCAACATTAAACACGAGCCATGGGGAAGGTCATTGGTTATGAAATCCTGGAAAATACGATTCTAATCTCAGTTCCTGAAGTTCAGTGGCATCCATAAATTAATCAATTGAAGTCTTGAATATATTAAAGATAAAACTATGTATTTATAAATTCATAAATTATAAGAACAAGAACAAGTCTTTGATAAATGTTGTATCTGAACCTTGACAGTTTCTACGATAAATTCATCAACTGAAGCTTTCTTAATGAGTTGTACAACACCGATTCAGACAAGCAAAGAAATATGATAGACAATGAACATAAATCATAAATCCAAGAACTCGGTTTGTTAAAAAAACAAGTTGAATTGAAATCAAGGAATGTGAAGTACCTCATCTGCATTGTTGTCGACAATCACTTTAATCCTCACAACCTCGCCAAAAATCAGGATTCCTCTTCGATTTCATCGGTCAAGCTTTCACAACTCCATAATTGTAATTGTTAATTGATGGTTACTCACATTAAGGTCTTGATGTTCTTCATCTCTAGGAAAAGCTAATTCCATCTGATCACATCCAGAACACTTAATCAATTTACAAGAGAATATCAAGCGATTAAAGTAATGAAAGGGTAAACGACTAATAACGGCGGTGCGGCTTACCGGTGGTGGTAGCCAATACAGGGCTGAGAGGGAAGAAGGTGATAGAGGCCGGAAGATGGGAGGGAGGGATGGAGCTCAATTTTTGGCGATGGAGAAAATTGGTTCTAGGATAGCTGATCGATCACGACTTCACTGAGGGATTAGATTTTCCCCTAAAATGATTAACAATTCTAGCAAACGGTATGACAATAAATCCAGCAGACTTCTAAACAGATAGGGCACAACAAGAATTTTTATTAGCATGTAATGTCAAATGTATCTTCAATAATTAGGTTATAACCCGTGTACACACGGTTGATGAAGTAAAATAACATTGAAACTTTAAAAAACACGTTAATTACAGATTTGCAAACATTTATTAATTTTTATAGATCTTTTGCACATTGAATACCACCTCATCGCAGAAGTACCAAATTGTGTTTACATAAAAAATGATAGTTTCCAAGGAGAATACAAGCCGGTCACACAATTACCAAACGCTTGAAGACATGAAATTATGGGTGTTATTATGTAGGCTTTTAAGGGGTAAAATGATAAATAAGGTTCCCAAAACCAAAAACAAAGTCATTGTGATTATGATGCTTAAATTACCATGCCAACGTTATGAACAATAGATCAGTGAAAATGGAGAAAATATGAATAAATATGATTCAAAACTAATAAATTAAGTAACATCCAATAGTAGATTGATATAAAATAACATAATGAATGTGCTTTAAAAGTCGTAATCAATAATCATAGATGTGAAAACAGTTATTTTCACATAAAGTGTGTTGTTTTGTCCGTAATTACTAAAAACCACCTTATACCAATCATTTTGTAACTTCAAAATTGAACACGTGTGTTACATGGTTTAGAATTCAAAAAAAATATCTAGAAAAATAAAATCGTAGTATTGAAAATATTATTCTGTTAAGTATATAATCGGTACATCATCTTCCTCCCTTGAATAAATAAATATACAAATACTACCCTCTAATTACTTGAAATGACTAAGATGCCCATTATCATAAAGATAGTAATTCACAACGCATACGTAACAACTTGAAAGTGATCTCACTCATTCTTTTGCCTACATACCACTGTCAACAAAAAAAACCTTGAATTCCCTAAACTTATAACGTTTTAAGATCTTATCGAAAACCAAAAATACATTCATTTAATTTATTAAAAAAATAATAATAAAAAATAAAAAATAAAAAATTAACCAATTCTCAGCCAAAACCAAAAATACATTCATTTAAATTAAAAAATAAAACTAACCAATTCTCCGGCTAATGAACTCCAAAAAGGTAAGATATTTGTAATAGTAATAGTAATATTTAAATAAACAAAATAACAAATATAAGTCAAACTCATATAAACAAAACACCAAATTAGCAATAACTCACTGTGATCAAATATCCACCTTTAAAAAGTCATAGAATGGTAATTACAATTTGTGTAGAAATGATAAAAATTGCAAAAAGCTATAAAAAAAATTAAAAACCAAAAGATTAACATGAGTGTCATTGAGCATAATTTTGCTCTCTTGCATACAAATACGATCAGTTGTAGGATATTGAGCCGTATTAGATACAAAATATTAAAAAAAAATATATAAATAGGAAAAATAATTAACCGTGATTGTTTAATTTTGAAATGGCATGTTGCCCATAAGAATAACACTACATGGAACCATTTCTTAAAATCAAGAGCATTTATGCGGAGAAGAAAAGCAGAAGAAAAAGTCAAATTACATATTCTCAAGGAGCTATTTTGTAGCACCTGGTTCTTGGTACGTATTCTTTTATTAATTCTTTAAATGTTTTGCAATTTTGGCCTTGGACTCGGCGAGTCGAAGGACTGACTCGCCGAGTAGAAGCGGGAAGGAACGCGGGGTTTAAGTGATGGACTCGCCGAGTCGGGTCCCGGACTCGGCGAGTAGCTGCTGTCTGGACAAAAACCCTAATCCAGGGGTTTGCACCCTATTTAAACGACCTTATGCAGCCTCCATCACCCCCTTTATGCTCCCAAACACTTCTCATCGAAACCCTAGCCGTTTGTGCTTTGTTGAGGCCATTTTTGGTGTTCTTGTGGGGTTGTAAAGCTTGGAAGGAAGAAAGGAGCTTGGAACTTGAGTTGGGGACAGTAGATCCAGGGAGTTTACTTCATTTTCAACAACTTCAAGGTATAATGCCACTGTCTTGACTCATCTATGTGTTTATTCACCTTTAACTTGGGATTTCTTTGGATTGCTAAGTCATGTTTCGATATTGGGAGTGTGGGGTGGGTTTTGACTTCAGATCTGGGCCTTAAGAGGGGCTTCATGGCATAAAGGTGCCAACTTTAGGGCCATGAAAGCCCCATGCACATTGTAGGACACTTTATGTGGATTTTTGAGCTAAAAACCCCATGCATGTGCATCAAGTTTGGAACTTTACGTATGAAGTGGACATTAGGAGGCCAGATCTATGGTTTTGGTGTGTTAGATCTCATTTAAATCAACTGTATGGAATTGGTCAAGACTGGACTCGGCGAGTCCAAGGCAATCTCCTTAGAACTCGGCGAGTTGTTCATCAACTCGACGAGTTGAGGACAGATCTTATTCATCAGATGAAGGTGAACTCGACGAGTTGTTCATCAACTCGGCGAGTCGGATGAGTTTTCATGTGGCGTTCGAATGAGAAAAGAACTCGCCGAGTTGACGGCTCAACTCGACGAGTAGGGTCACGGATGAGGACGAGTAGAGAGTGATGGACTCGGCGAGTTGACGGAGGATTTCCGGAGCAGCAGCAGACGGAGGTTTCCCACACAGATTATCAGCAGCGACTTGTACGAGGTGAATTACCTTCCAGTAGGGGTGGGTCTAAGGCCACAATGTCGGCCCACCAATGAGGAGTATTTAGAAGATGATTGTCTTTGTGATAATTATATTGGTCTGGTTATGTGTTTGGTTATGAGTTATATATGTATGATATGTTACGTGCATGATAGGGATAGTTTCCCTGATAGTGGTCCTTAGGACCGAGGGGTAGGTCAATACCCGGATATGCCTGACTGTATGCTTATATTTTGTTGATTGTATGCTAGTGGTAGGGGTGGAATAGTCCTCAGTTACCGGTTGAAAGATACCGATGAATGGTTACTGGTTGAAAGATACCGATGATGATTACCGGTTGAAAGATACCGACGATGACTACCGGTTGAAAGATACCGAGGATTTGTGTGGTATCTGGTATGATGGGGGAACTCACTAAGCTTTGTGCTTACGGTTTCAGTTTTTGGTTTCAGGTACCTCTTCGTCTAAGGGGAAGGAGCCGGCGGCGTAGCATGGCATCACACACACATATGATTTTCCGCACGGAGTTTTCTGGGATTGTACTCTGATATGATATTTGTTTATGTTGTGGGTTTCAAACATGATACTTGGTTTTATGAGATGACGTGTTTATACAATATTTTCTAGTGAATGTTTTATGAGTTAAATTAATTAAAAATGAAATTTTTGGGCTTGAATTTTGGGATGTTACAAGTTGGTATCAGAGCCCTGGTTTGAGGGATTCGGATACACCCTCGGGGGTGTCTGGACTCAAACTGAGGGGCTAAAAGATTTTTGCAAGAAAACGGTTTTCTGAGAATTGCATGCGACCGGCCGGGCTCAAGTAAGTTTTCCCCAAGATACCCATACTATTTATGTTATGCTATATGGTTTTGATTCAGAAAAATTGCATGCTAGAATAGGACTAAGGATCTAGGAAGATGCCTTGTGTGCCTGATATATGATTCTGAGAATTGCATGCTAGTTAGGGCTAAGGATCTAGGAGGATGCCTTATATGCCTGTTGTATGAGCTGTATGCTAGGATTGTTTAGTCAGCAGTAGGATGGCCTGTATAGGTTATGCCTGATTTGGTTACTCGATGCGCGAATGCTGCTTGCTTTGTGCTAAGGGGGTCCTGGCTATTTCCAACTAACTAAGGAGCGGATATGTAACAGTATCTACAAGTTAGTTAGGGGGAAGTAGTAGGGACTCCTAGTGCAGCTGATGGCGGAAGGTAGGTCGGAGAATTCCCTAGGGAAGCCTAGGATAAGGTCAGTGGAAAGGGTATCGGTAAAAGGGACTTGGTGAAGTCGAAGCAATCCTTGAGGAAAGTACATGTAGATGTGGAAGGTAGTATGGGCTCGTACTACTGAAAGCAGAGGACCCGTACTCGAATCAAGGAGGGCATAGATGGAACCAGGAACCTTGGAGAGTGTGTTAGATCTCCCGGGAATATATATGATCCTGACATTTATGGGTGTATTTTCAGCATGGTGACCACACGACATGGAGCAGGAGGTTCCGAATCAGGATCAGGATCGGGCTCGGGTGCGGGGTCCGAGCAGGTTGATGACGGGCTGCGCGAGTTCATCGCGTCGGAGATCACGAGAGGTATCCTTGAGTCGACCCCTATCATTTTCGGGTCGATCAAGGAAGGGATTGTTGAGCTGATGGAGGATCGCCTCCGAGCATTCAGGAGTGATATGGCGTCTAGCCAGGTGGGTACGCGCACACTGTCCTTCAAGGACTTTCGAGGGAGTGGTGCGTCAGATTTCCATGGGGCGAAAGACCCCATTGCTGCCAGGAGATGGATCGCAGACATTAAGTCTGCGCAGCTGACGAGCTACTGCCCGGAGGGGTCGAAGGTGAGATATGCAGCAGGATGCTTGAGGGACAGGGCCAGAGATTGGTGGGAGTCTGTTGGTGACTCATTGGGGGCCTCGGCTGTTGAGGCTATGACCTGGTCGGACTTTGTGACCAGATTCAGGGCGGAGTTTGCGCCAGCTGTGGAGCTTCAACGGCTGGCCAAGGAGTTCTTGGATATGAGGCAGACTACGGAGACTGTGGCGGAGATCACCGCCAAGTTCCGGGAGAGGGCATTGCTGGTGCCCCAGTATGAGGGAGATGAGGATATGAGGAGGACCCGCTACCACGACATGCTACGAGATGACATTTGGGAGCACGTTAGTTTTTCAGCTTGCCCTACCTTGGATTCCATGATTGCCAGGGCTAGGGAGAGGGAGATTGATCTGGAGCACATCCAAAAGAGGAAGGCGGTGGATGGGCTGACGACTGGGGCTTCGGGGAAGAAGCCCAAGGGATCTGATGGTAGGCCGAAAGGCCAGGCAGGACGGGACCGCTGTGGGAAATGCGGTCGGTCACACGAGGGAGCTTGTCGCACTGGGCCGGGTTCGGGCTGCTATAAGTGCAGCAAGGATGGGTATTTTGGCAGGGATTGTACTGCCCCCGCCCCCACGGTACAGGTGACAGACCTGATTTCCTTCCATTGCAATCAGAGGGGCCACAAAAGGGCCAATTGCCCGAGATTAACAGCAGCGTCAGCAGCAGCGCCAGCAGCGGCGCCGGTCTCAGCGACGACGCAGGTTGCGGATGGCCGGAAGGTCAAGCCAGAGGCTCCAGTGGTGCGGAGCCGAGCATTTCAGCTGACAGCTGAGGAGGCACGCGCTGCACTTGATGTAGTGACGGGTATGATTCCTTTCTTATGCTTATACGTTATGGCGCTGTGATTTTGATATATTATGTATGTGCATTGTTTAGGATCGTTCCATGTGAACGACATCCCAGTACAGGTATTGTTTGATTCGGGTGCTACCCGATCGTTTGTTTCTCTTGCGCTCAACAAGAGATTTTCCGAGTCTTCGGGCATGTTGGATTGCCCTCTAGAGGTAGAGATTGCGGATGACCGATCGGTGTGAGCTTCGACGGTATTCCGAGATTGTGTGCTGAGATTATTCGAGGAGCGTTACCTGGTGGATCTGGTTCCCATACCTTTGG